CACTTAATGATTGGCATTCCATGCTGTGCCTCGCTGTGAGAGTGTGGATTCAGCACTGTGGGAGCTTTAAGTTTGCTTTAAAAACTTGTAAGGCTTTATGTGTGTAGGGCAGGAAGGGGTGAGAGGGATTCCAAAAAGACCCCAAGCATTTTATCTTTCTCTTATCTTAATGTTTCTTGTCTTTCTGTTACACAGGTGAAAGATATGATCCTGAGCCCAAGTCCAAATGGGATGAAGAATGGGATAAGAAACCAGCTTTCCCATTCAGTGATAAGTTAGGTGAGCTGAGTGACAAAATTGGCAGCACCATCGATGATACCATCAGCAAGTTCCGAAGGAAAGATAGAGAAGACTCTCCAGAAAGGTGCAGGTACTAGAGCTATTTGAACATGGATTTATCTGGGAAATTGCTGTTGTAAAGCTGTTTGACATTGCTGGATCTGGTTGCAGTACTCTGCCATTCTTTTTGTCTGTGTGGAAGCATGTTTGGGTTCAGTACCTGCTTCCTGCACTGCTTATGCAGGGCTTGCTGGCCTTAGGGAATAGTGCAGCTCTGGCAGGAGTTAGCTGCTCTTGGCTGCCTTCCATTACTACCCCAGCTTAGCTAGCTGCTGGCAAAGCAGGGAATTTGGCTGAAATTTCCTAGGCTTTTCCCTGTCTCAGCAATTTGGTGGTGTTCCTTGTGCCAGTGTAGTGTAAGCAGCCACTTATTGCTACACTGGCTCTGAATGCTGAAGTGCCAAAGAGGAGGGAGATTAAAGTTGCTGAGACCTACTTTGCCACAGTGCTGGTTCCCTGAGCTGATCTCAGGAGGAACAGCCTGCAGGTGATGACTTAAAAAGGAAAAAAAACTTGATTTCAGTTGAACCTTTCCAAGAAAATTTTTATATTTTACATCTGCTCATAAAATACTTTTCAGTAAGGAAGAAAACCTGCCCTGCTTTGCCTGCAGAAAGAGCTTTACATACATCACACTTCAACAGGTGCATTGAATTTATTATCTGGAGATCAAGTTGGTACTTAACAGAATCTGAAATTGCTGTAGAGAAAGTGCTCAAGTATATTGAAATAATTCCCTTTTGGGAAACAACTTAAAATTCAAATTTGCACTGAGATTTGATTAATTTTTTTACATGAATATCTTCATATACAGTCACACACACAGAGGTATATGAATATAAAAACACACGTGCACATGTGTATAAATTCCAAAACTAAAACAATTTTGCACAGAAATAACAAATACTGATAACAGTAGCATTGCTGGGGAAAAAAAATGGTGTGGTCTTCTTGCTGGGGCATTAATAAATCATAGGACTGGTATTCTTTGCACACATCAGGGTTCCCTCTTAGAACTTACTATCAATAGACTACAAAGAGAAAGGATCAGAAGGAAAGTAAACAATTTCAAATGTAACAATGGTACATTGCTGGGTGCTTTGCTGTACTTACCTTTCAAAAGCAACTTGTCCCACGCTGTCTGCAGAGCTCACCAGCCACGTTTCACAGAGAGGATGTACAGTCAACATTATTTATCTTATTTCCTTTGCTTTATTTCTGCATGGCTCCTGATCTCTCACTTGTGCTGGTATCAAGTCTTGTACTTTTCAGTGGTTTTGACAGTCCTTTCTGCAGTCTCATCTTTATCAAATGCAGCTTATTTTTGATGACTTCTCTACCCCAAGTTGCACTGTCTTTTTCTCTGGCTGGTAGTACATGTTTCATTTTTGTTTTGCCCTTGTAACTCTTCTGTTTGAGTTCATTTTTTTGGTATATGTCATGTGGGATTTTGTCTTGAAATTTATCAAAGCGATAAACTCAGGGCTTGAAACAAGGAAGATTTTTGGAGAGCAAAACCAGTTTGGTGGCTGCAGGTTATCCTGCAGTAAGAAGGAATCCAGGTTGGAGCAGTATAGCTTCTCTAATGTTGCTTCAACTCCCAGGCTGGAATTTCCTTTTGGCTTCTCTTGGCATGGGGATTAGATGCCATGGAAGGTGTTTTATCACAGTGTCCAAATAAAGGAGTTTCTTTCTACAGAAGCCATCAAGGGATCTAAGAAGATTGAACTCAAGATTACAGACTGTATTTGTAGTTAGGTACTGTAAATATACCCTTTAGTGTGTGCTGTATTAGCCAAGTACTGTATTGAAATATTGAAACTGAAGGAAACATGAAATCTTAATTATCATATAACTTCAGCTCACAATAACATAACATTCTCCTGTAAATGCCTCATGAAATCCATGCTTTGCTGTGTTTTCACACTTCAGCAATTTTTTCCTAAAGAAAAAAAAAAGCCTCCAAAAATGTTCTCCCTTATTTGGATCCTGCTGCTATATAATAACAATTAAGTTGCCATTTCACTTGGAAAAGTAGCTAAATGGTGATACTCACTCAGCTGGCAAATGTGCTGTTATGTTCTATTGTTTCTATCTTAATCACTTTATAAAACATTATTACTTGAGTATGTAAAGCCAATAAAGGCCTTGGAGCACAAAGAATAAGTGTGACTTAGGCATCTTCACTGCAGTTAATGGCATTTGGATGACATGGTCTTACACACCAGAAGAACTTAGCCAAACTTGTGGGTCTCTGACTTTACTTGCAAAGCCACTAGTTTGCATAGATGGAAAAAAAATATGCTTTAAGTAGCTAAGAACTTGAACAAGAGCTAAGAACTGCAATACAGATTGTTGTGGGTACAATATATTTCAGTGAAGCTTCTTTACACAGTGAACTCTGGAGAAGCCAAATCTGCTTTTTTTTTTTTTTCTTTCTGTAGAAGAAAAGTGCTGTTAGTGTTGTGGGGGAAATGGATTCTTTCTTCCAGTAATATGTCCCCTTGAAAGTAGTGAAGACCACAAACAGTACCCCATGGGGTAAGAAAGCCTCTGTTTTTCTTTCACAGTGCTTGTTAGTTCTTAGGTGAATAAATTAGTTGCTGCCCTGAGTCCAGCACTGTGCCCTAAAATTGGTTCCTAAATTACCTGTAGATACACACAAGTTCTTCTGAAACGATACACTTTTTTTCCTAAGAATTCTTAAAGCTGTCAATCCTTGTTTCTCCAGTAGTCAGAAAGGTTGATGCAGGTAACAGAATAGAAAGGAAGCAAAACTTGTAGTGCACCAGGTAAAGGAGGTTAACAGCCAGGATTAAAGGCAGTTGCCATGCAAGGGATTACTTTTACAGTGGGTATAATTCAAGTAGTCTGAAACTCTCAGTAAGTTTTCTGTAGTCTTAAAGAATGTTCAAAAAAATCTCATACCACAAAAAAATGGGGCAAAGAAAAAGATCATGTGTCCATACTTAAGTTTCTTGTACTTTCTCTGTACTTTCTTTGCAGCAGTGTTTTTAATTATTTGGTACACTGTTAGCTCTAATTTTTATTTTTAAGTTCATTCTGCAATTCTCAGATGAAGCACTGCAATTTGACTATTCCGAGCACAGTAAACACACTTAAAGTGAGCATTAATCTGTAATCTTTTCTTTTTGTTAATGTGACCATTAAAGAAAAATAAAAAGTGGATCTCCTGAGGGAGTTTGGAAGCAGTACAGGTTGTCATAGAAAATTGAGTCTTGTAATATTTATTCTCCTTTCTGGCATATATGTTTAATTTCTTTTCTCAAAAGCTTTTAGACATTTATTTTGCTGTAGATCACCAAAGACTCACTTTCTTTTTTTTTCTTTCTTGCATTAGTGAGGTTGATCTATAGCAGTTCTGTGTCAATAGAATCATAGAATCAACTGGGTTGGAAAAGACCTCAAAGATCATTGAGTCCAGCCCTACTGTGGTTACTGGACCATGGCTCTAAGTGGTGATCAGACTTTGCCTGTCAATTATTTCTCAACACAAGAATGTGTATGTGGAGTCTGTAGTGAGGGCAAGAAATGCATTGCAGCAGGTTTTAAAACACTGAGCCTTGTGTTGTCCTGATCTTGGATGCTTTCAACACACATCTAAAAGGCATCATCATGCACACTCCTTAGAGGCCTTCAGGATGGATGTACTGTGTATCCCATGCAGATCTGTCTGCTCTGGGGGCTCCTGTTAAAATGCTGTCATCACAAATGGAAGTGTGGTTAGTGGTCCCCTGGTGTGTTTGTGCACACAGGTGGGTACCTGCAGAACTCCAGAACTGGGGCAGAAGGGCTGCAGGGTTGAAGTGCCTTGGAAGAATCAGTTTAGGTGGTGTCATTTGAGCTCACTCGTGTGTGTTTATCTGGCTCAGGCCAATACCAGGAGTTGCTGTTGCCCAGCAGCTGTGATATTAGGAAAAAGTATTTTACTGTGAGGGTGGTGAGACACTGGCACAGGTTGCCCAGGTATGTGGTAGCTGCTCCAACCCTGGCAGTGTTCAAGGCCAGGCTGGATGAGCCTTGAGCAACCTGATCTAGTGAGGAGGTGACCCTGCCCAGGGCAGGGGGTTGGGACTGGATGCTCTGTAAGGTCCATTCCAACCCTTAAATTCTATGATTCCATATTTACCTTTTTAAAACCCAAAAACTGCTCAAGGGAGTGAACATTTCTGTTCAGTGATGCTAGTAAATTGAGCCATCCCCAGTGGTGAGTAGGTAACGTGCACAGAGGAAATGACACATGCAGTGTGTTCCAAAAAAGCCCATTGTTAGCAGAGAACAAAGACTCCCCTCCAGAGGATATTGCAGTTACTGTCACATTCCCCCTGACAAAGGGACAGCCTTCCTTAAATTTTGCAGTTTTAGTATTCTAATGCATTATTAAAATACAAACCCTTTCCACTTTTAACTCTGTTGCTAAGGGAATTACTATTTCAAAATACGTTTCAATGTATTTAACTTTCTTTACAGCAATTCTTACTGTTATGTACAAATCTTATTGGCAACAGCAACATGAGTGTTGGTGGGAGCCACCAACCACAAATTGGTTTGTTTGTGAAAGGCTTAAAATATAAAAGTAGAAAATGTAACAGATTAAGCAAATAGTATGCAGTGACATCTAAAAGTTTTTGCCTAAAAGGGTGACATTTTTGTTCTTCTGTGTTTTAAGAATAACTGTGTGCTCTGGTAGAAAATGAATAGTATCATTGCATTGCATAATTCTGTAAACATTATTTTTTCCACAAACATTTTGAAGAGTAAAAAAGGCTGTTTCTCTGGCAAAGGAAATGAGCTGAAATACAAATGGAGTTGTTGAAACCTGAAGTTGGGTTCATTGCTTTCTGTCTCTTGGTGTAAGTACTGAGCAGACCTGCCAACTTTTAATGTTTTGTTGCTGAAGTGTTACATAATGTGTGGGGGAGTTCCTGTCAGAAGGTAATTCAATGTACTGGATTTAAACACTGATTTCCTATTATCCTCTGCTGTGGACTTGCAGTTCATATTTAACAAAATAACCTGCTTTTCTTCATCACTTCTGTACAACAGGTGCAATGCTATGTGATGTGTTATGTAAGGGTAAAACATTTCCCTTCTCCAATGTAGAAAGAAGCAGCATTTTTCTTATGAATTGTTGCTACAAGAAACTACAGCAACCAAAACTCTTGTGGCTTAAGCTAAATGTCCACTCAGGGAACTGAGAAGTCCATCACGAATGCTGTGCTATCACTTTTGTTTTTCTAGTGACAGTGATGAGGAAAAATCAAGAAGAGGTAAATCCCCCAAAGCTGAATTTAAAGATGAAGAGGAGACTGTGACAACGAAACACATTCATATTGCACAAGCTACAGAAATTACTACCATCAGGCAGAAACGCTCAGCAAATCCTTCAAAAACCATTGACTTGGGAGCAGCAGCACATTATACAGGAGATAAAGCAAGTCCAGAGCAGAATGCTGCTGCTCATCCTGCACAGCCTACAACAAAGGTGAGACACCAGGAGGGCACGATAAAATATGATTTTGGAAACTGTTTCCTTCTAACCTCTGAGACAATTTCTAGTTTAGGGTAGAATTCTTGTTGCACAGCTTTCCAGGGAGTTATTTTTATCAAAAATCTTTAGTTCGAGTTTTCAAAGTCTGTGGAACAGTTTAACTATAATTGTGTGATTAAGCTGTAGGTTTTAAGTAGCCATTAGCATGTTTTACTTTCTTCAGGACACTTCACTTGCTCTGAAGTGTGAAGGATTCTCTGAGCTTGCATACTAACTGAAGTTACCGAACTTTCCGTTATCATAAAAACTGAGCCACTAGCTTTGCAGTATTTGGTTTTACATTTAACCATGTTCCAGTGATTGTTGGCTTCAGAGACAAACCTGTCATCTCTTGAAAGCAAACAACAAAACCCTCCAAAACCCCAGGTAACTTCTCAGTGTAATTTAAGGTGAATGATGGCACTCTGAGATGGGATCTCTTGTGTTTTCTCCTTCAGGCCGCTGTACCTGCTGGCAGCAAGTCTTCTAATGACCTGGTTGACCTGTTGTTTGATGGAGCTAGCCAGCCAGCTTCCACAGGTAGGCAGATTTGGAGTTTCTTTCAGTAATGCCTATTTGGATCCAGTTGTGAGGATAAACTTGTTTGTTGCTATACAGATTATTAGATCAATGAGAACTGCCTAGAACCTTTTGTAGCCAGGTCCTCTGTGTGCTAGTGCATGGGTCTAATAAATGTTAGCAGCACAAAGATTAACTGCCAGATCAGCCTGTCAGAAACTGTATGTAATGCAGTTATTTATAATTAACTCTAAAAGCAAGTGCAATCCACTCACATTCAGGCACTTCTCATGGTGCAAAGCCTTGGACAGCTGCAGATGGATGATTTCCATGGAAGCTTTCATCTAAAGTATATGGCAGACTTGTTCATCTTATTTGTGTCTTGGCATTTGGTTGATGCAAACCCTAATATCAAAAAACTTTATACCTAAAAGTAGAATTATTCATTTTAAAACACATCCCTTCATTCTAAATGTGCAGCAAAGTCCAATAACCTTCATATGGACTTGTCCTTGTGCTATCAAAATGCAGTTTCTTTTTAGGAGTGTGTTAAATTTCAATGCATCGCATACAGGATTGGTAGGGGAGTTCAGGGATTTGGTGGTTTACTTTTCAAAACCTAAGACTTGAAGACTTGTTATGATGCTTCCAACTTAGTATCAATGTGTTTGGCTGTAGCATGGAATAGAAAAAGGATTTCTGTGCACTTGGGATCTAATGGCACAGCTGGGGGGGAGTTAACTGTGAGCAGATGACTTTGAGTAGCAAATAAAAGATGAGGATGTGCCTTTTCAGAGACAGAAACCTTCTCTCCATTACAAATAAGGAGTTGTCTCATGATATATGGGATCATACTGTCTATAGAAGTGTGTTTGTGTATCTTGGTGACAGCAGATTCTCAGCTCAGTCTTTGCTTTAAAAACAAGATAAAATCTCAGAGGCTGTACCAAAAAATGGCAGTGCACAGTGGCTGGAGGCCACGTGTGTGGCCATGTGGCTGCATTCAGGCGTATGCAAAGGCTGCTCTTACTTCTGGCTGAAGTTACACCACTTCTGGGCATATTGTAGGGGGAACCCTTGTAGTGTGTCACACTGGGGATTTGTATGGTAATGTATGAGCAAAGCCAGGATCAGGATCACTCTGTAAGACACATTCTTTTCATCCCTGCTCTACCAAAATGCTGCTTCAGTAAGTATTTAATAGACTATAAAATGCATCAGAACTTGACTGGAGGGGAGGGAAGTTGTCCTGGTAATTTAGCATCAGAGCTCTGTCTCAATCTTTTCTTATTTCTGGTAGGTCTTTAAAACTTTGTTCACTTTTATTTTTGGGAAAGTAGGTAAAGTTTTCATGTCTGTTCTGGAATGTGTTAATTCCTAATGGTTAAGAAATAAAATTCATGTCTGTTTTTATGCACAAATGCCCCCACATTTGAAGAATTACTTATTTTGTGCCATTTCCTACTTTATTAACTTCATGTACAAAGGTGTGTGTTGTACACTGGAGTTACCACAGTTCCATGGGATTTGAAGACCCTGGATCAGAACCACTGCCTCAAATCAATACTGAAACTTCTCCTATCCAGCTCTTACAGCAAAAGAGATTGGAGCCTTTTTTGTTTCATTTATATACATATGTGTATGGAGGTTTTTTATAAAAATAAAATCACGTTGAGAATAGAAGTTTCCACTTCAAAGTGAACCTTGCCATGTTTCAGACAGAACTATGGCAGCTTCCATATTACAGTGTATTTAAATCTTTCAACAGTTTGACTCTGTGCTGTAGTAAGCCTTTTTTCTGTTTTTTTTTCTCACCTTTTTTCTTCTGTTTCCAAAGCAGCATTTAGAAATGGTGCTGAGAAAAGGCAGATTACCAGCTGGTCCTGCTAAATAACCTCTGCTGACCTGAGCAGGCAGATGGAAAGGGTTCATTTGTAGTGACAGATCTCGCATGGGAATCTTTTGAGGCTAGTTCATGTTGAGAAGATTAGCACTGTCCTTCACGTGCAGGTCACTTGTTATGACCACTGTTCCTTGCAGCACAGGGTGTGAGAACATTGCCAGTGTCAGGCAAGACAGAGGGAAAGGGTCAAATGCAGCCTTTGATGTGTCCTGTGAAGGAACTGGCAGGGAAGTCATGTGAATTCAGGGAACTCAGGATTTGCTTATCTGTGTATTTTCAGGTGCAGAGATGTGGAAAAGGTTGGTTGAGCTCAGTGTTGCACATTACTGAAGCAACACAGTTTGCACACGAGGGGGTGGTTGGTTGCCATAAAGGAGATGATTTAGAATCTCTGGTTAGACCTGCTGGAAATAACGTTTTAGTGTTCCTGGAGCTGAGTGTCTTCAGCCTTAGCTTGTGATACCTTTCTTTAGAGCTACTGCACCCAGCTTAATCTCTGTCACCTCTCTCTGGAACTCAGTTTCATTTGTAAACAGGCAAGAGAGATGGAGGAAAAGTTGGCTTGACTGAAATGAAGGGGTTGGTTTGGGTTTGACCCTAGTTCTGTTTTAAAAATTAAATTAATCCCTAGATACCTTGTCAGGCAGCCCAAAGATAATGGGTGCAGCCTGAGAGCATTGGTTTTCTGGCTTTGAGCATGTGGTTAGGAGTTTGTCATCTGTGTTGCTCATTCGACACACAAACTCTCAAACCATTAACAGATTCTCAACTCTGTTAGCACATAGGTGGTGAAAAAATTTATTCAAAAATATTCATTGCAGTAGACAGGGTAAATAGCATCAGAGCAGTTTTGTAGCTTATTTCACTGCCCCTTTATCATTTCTGCCCTCTGTTTCAGTCAGAATAAAACTTGTATATAAACACAGGTAAGACACTTAGTAGATCACTTCAGAATTTGTGTTGAAATTCCTTAACTTTGTGTGTTGAAAAGGTGGGAAAAGGATTTCAGTAGTGCTGTATCTATAAAAATTCAAAGAGACCATCCTTGCATTCTCTCCTCATGTTTTATATCCTATCCTACAAGCTCAGCAAGAAGAACATTTCCCCTTGGAAGAACAGTCGCCTTCCTGGCAATGTCTACAGTAAAATAGCATTAAAAAGAAATACAAGTACACATGTATTGGGAAGTGAATTGGTTCCTTTTATTACTGCTGGCCATTTATTAAAGAGGAGATGGTTCTAGTTTAATTAACCCAGTTGAGAGCAGCAGATGGGGCAGAATGTCTTGCAGCGATAAGACAATTCTGAAATGGCACCAGATGTTGGAAGCTGTCCCTGGTGGTGTTTGAGTGCAGCACAGATGTTCCAGTCCCACCTGGCTAGTTCCTAAGCACTGCAGGCTAAGCAGCTGTGATGTAACCTATATAATGTACGCAGAACACTAAAAGCAAAATAATTGAACTGCTGCAGCTTCTTCTAAGGGTGGGACTGCTTGGAGGTGAAATCTGTGAGGACAAACAAATAAGGTCAACTTCTTGGCTTTCTCAGGTCAGTGGAATCCCTGCTTAGAAGCAGTACCAACAACAGCAACTGGGTGATTTTGGTCTTTAAAGACTTTTTTCAGCTTCTTTTAAAAAGCAGCTTTCCAATATGGTTGTTAAATCTTCCCTCTGTTTTGTACCTTGGCTGTATCTTTTTAGTGGAAAAAAATAATGTTCCTGTGCTGTATTCAGAAGTTAATAATTTATATGCTGTATCCAAATGTCGGAAAACTTAATGTTCCTGCTGTAAAAGGAAGCAAACTTATAAAAAAATGAACACAAATGCAAGCTCTGTCCTTGAAATCCCAATCCAAGATCGTTGCAGAATCATTCATGCTTTAAGTAACACAAAAACTAAATATAAGGTGACATGTAATTTTTCATAGGAAGCATAATAAATTAACTTTTATACATAAGAATGTTTGGCTTTTCTGTATTATGCTTCCAAAACTGTAATTTTTCCAAACTAACAGCATCCCTCCCTAGTTAAAAACTTCACATTTTCAGCATCTCTAAATTTATTTTTAGAGCTGATAAAAACTTGTGTGTGTTAGTTCTTCCTTAGGAAAACAAAACTGCAGGATCCACAAGGCAGTTGGAAATAATCCAGTTTATTGTTGCTCAGGCTTGTATAAATATAGGATGGGGATGAACAGGAAAACAGAGTGACTTAGGGAGCAGAATCAATAAATTCATCGTGTCAAGTACAGAACAGCTTCTCTTCATAAATCCCACATGCAGTTGTTGCAATGGGTCTTTGCACAGTCCTGTAACAGCTTTTGGCCTCTTTCTGTTTCTAGGTGGATCAGCTGACCCATTTGGAGGATTTGCTGATTTTAGTTCACCTGCTGCTTCAGCAAGTTTCCCATCATCACAAGGTAGGATTCACTGAAGGATTGAAATGCTGTTTGAGGGGAAAGAGGGGAAGAGATGCCATGTGGCTTTATTGAAAGTCACCTCCCTTGTGTGTGTAACTGGAGCACAAGTGCTGTAGGAGTAGGGCAGACACCCTCTGTCTGGCACAGCACATGTCTCCAGTGTCCACATGGCTGGCAGTGCATGTGCAGTCACTTGCAGGCAGACATAGAAGCTATTATGGGACATGACCACCATCCAAAAAAAGGTTTCCCGTCAAATTAGGCTGGAGGAAAAAAAATACATCCTGGGAAGCCTCCTAAAGCAATCAACTTTCCTATGGTGGAATGTTTTTGGGAGCCTACAGTGCTACCCAGACAGAAGAAGGCTGCAAGCAGACATGGAGTGGAGAGGGCTGGCTGGCTGGCTATCTGTTGTGCAGAGAATTTGGGCAGGAGTGTTCCTTGTGACTGGTGTTTTCAGGGTGCAGGATTAAGTACAAAATGAGAAAAGACTAGCCAAGAGGTTGATCAGCAAACCTACCTGCAAGCCAGCTTTTATCAGCATATTTGTATCTCTCCCTTCATTCTGCTGTGCTGGGCATGGATTAGTTAATACACCTTTAATTTGCTTGGGAGGAAAGAACTGCTGTAATTTTTTTACCGGCTCTCTTAGCCAAAACCAAGTTGTTTTGCAAACACAAAGCTGCCTACTATGCAAATAACTCCTGTGTTAATACAGTCTAAATTGATACAATCCTTTATCTGCATTAACATGATTAATCTATTCCAATCACCATTATGCAAGGGACAAGGAGTCCTGTGAAATGATTAATCATTCCTGAACAGCGTAAGCCCCTCTAGAAATCTTTTCCTTCTTGATTAATCATCTTTGAAGTCCTACTGAAGGGGTAAAACCTTCTCCCTTTTACCCCCACTTCCATTATTGGTGCTCAGTGCAGAGGTCTGAGCACAGAAGGAGCACACTCAGCATTTACTTATCTATCAAGAATATTTAAAGTAGGTTTTAATTTTTAATATGTGATACTAATTGAAACATTCTAATATAGCCCCTCTTTGTGAGGAAGATCAAAGCAAATGTGCCAGTAAGGCCCTAAGCTAATGAATATTAGTCCACTTGGTACACTGAAAGTTGCTGGCAATCCTTGGATTTTGTGAACAAATTTAGTCTCCTAGTGTTCTTTAAATTCTAATGTGTTGGTAAAGATGGAGATGACTAAAGGTTGAAGGTGTATGTTGATAAATATTTACATGGAGTGTGATAGACTGCTGCAATTATCTGTGAGTGGGTGGAATACTGCTGTGGAAAATGGGTATGTGTGGCCATTGTGGAACTAGCACTTGGATAGGGCAGGAAATGGAAACTGGCACTAGATTCATCTACCCCAGATCTGTGTGTTGGAGTCTTCATTTGCTCAGCTGAAGAGATTTGAGAAATGATTTTGGTGTTGCTTAGTACTCAAAGTTCATTTCCAATGGCAGAGATGTTGCTTGTGATGTAGCTGAAGTACCAAAAGTGTATCAGAAAGATAAGCAAAGAGCTGATCTGTCCAGTGGCCCAAACTTGGAACACAATTGACTGTGTAGCAGAGGAGCTGTTTAAATGGAGTTGCTTTATATTCAGCATCTCCTGGAGCTGTCGTTTTTAAGCTTTTCTTCCCCCATCACTCCTGTGAAGCAACACTTTTCTTGTTGCTAGAGAAACATGTGTTTTTAAGGGAGGCAACATCTCCTCCTGTTTGACTCAAAGGTTATGACATGCTCTCAGTTCACTGGTTTGTGTCTCTGGACATCTGTGATGCTGGAATAGGTGCCCTTGCAGGTGTCTACAAACAGATTATACTGTTGTGCTCTTCACAGTGAGACAGAGCAAGCTCTGTGTTCTGGGTTAAATACCTGTCTGCAAAACACTGGTATGCCAAAGGAAACACTGTTTAAGTGACAAACTGAGAGTTCAACAAAGCTGCTGCTGAGGAAAATGCTGGACCCAAGATTGAGTCTCTGCTTCAAGCCAAGGCACTTAGTTCAGGAATCCAATTCAGAAAACGTCATGTGTTTTACTTGAGCACTTCATGGGATGGGAAGAAGTTATTCCTTATCACCTCAAATAAACATTCCCTGGCAAGCTGCATTCAAAGTTCTGGGTTTTGTTCCCCTCAGCCTGGTTTTGTACAAAAAGCTACTCATTGTCTACAACCAAATTTTGACGTAGTTGTCTTTGTTTTATCATGATGGAATTTGTTTTATGGAGTGGTTCATTCCTGACAGCTGCTCTTTCGGCAAGGATCAGAATGCAGGGGGGAAAGTTAATAAGTATTATCAAAGTTCTAGGTGTTATGACTGTAGCCTCCAGCCTACCCCTAAGTTATCTTTTGGTCCCACTTCAACTAGAGAAAAACCTGTCCCTGCTTGTCTTGCATCCACAGGTGACATGTTACCAAACATCCTTCTACTTCTTGTGTATGGGTGTTCATATTTCCTTCCCTACCTTGTTAAAATTGTTGGAATATTCATGAGAGGGAATGATGTCCAGATGGAGGTTCTACCTGCAGATGTTAATCTGGACGGACACAGATCAGCTCTCATTTGTTTCAGTTCATGGAGTATGGCAGTTGCTCAGTGCCTTTCTCTCTAAGTCTTCTCTTTTCCTTCCTCCCTTACTGTTGCCTTGCCTTCAGGTACAGCAACAAGTGGAAATGGAGACTTTGGTGACTGGAGTGCCTTCAACCAAGCTTCTCCTTGTCCCAGTGCTTCACCTGGAGAGCTCTTGGGCAGCACGGCACAGCAGCCAGCTCTGGAGCTCTTTGGCAGCTCCCAGCCAGCTTCTGGCCAGCCTCCAACTGCTTCAAATTCTACAGATCTTTTTGATTTGATGGGCCCCTCTCAGACCACCATGACTGCTTCACAAAGCATGAATTTCTCCATGATGAGTTCCAGTTCTGTGGGCATCAGCTTACCCATGTCCAGGTCCCAGGTATGCTGCTGTTGGTACTATTTGCTACTGACCTTCCTCGATTCATCTTTTGCTTTCCCCTTAATCACAGCATTGAAAATTAATCCATTCCCTTCTTGGAATACATCAGACCTGGTCACTCAGGTGTGATCAGCCTGCTGTGAGAAAGTTCTGTCCAAAAATATTTGAATAGCCTCCTAAACAAAAAATTCCTTTTATGAGCCAGTCTTCTCAGAGATTATCTTCATTGCTCTGGGCAGTGTTGCTGCTTTGTTGGAGATTGGAGACCTGTACCACTCTGTAGAGAATCAGTCTGAAGTAGATGGAGGTGGGGACTGGTCTGTTCTCCAAAGCACAGAAGTGGCTGCTTCAGTGGGGAAGGAAACTGTAGTAGGTTAGCTTGATGTTAGGAGTTAAAAATCAGCATGTTTGAGTTCAAACATGATGGTCACTGTTGCTGCATGTGTTAATGTGGGAGCTTGATCCTTGCTTGCAAGTACTCCTCTCATCCCTCTCATTGTGGAGCAGCACTGCTTTGGAAGAGCTGAAGTTCATGGCTAAAAATCTCTCTTTTTTTTTTTTTTTTTTTTTTTTTTAATTGCCTTCTGTGGAAAAATCAACACTTGTTTAGTCCTGATTTTTACTGATCAATTGTTTCAAGTGAATCCCACCAAACTTCTCTTTTTTAGCCTCTGCAAAGTGTGAACACTATGATGCCGAAGCCTAACTGTCTTTATAATGCAAGGACAGAGATGGTCCAGAAAAATGCAAGCAAAACTCTACCTTCAACTTGGTCAGATCCAAGTGTAAATATCAGTTTGGACAATTTAGTACCTGGGATGCAACCTTCCAAACCCCAACAGCCATCACTGAACACCATGATGCAGCAACAGAGTAAGTGATTATTGCAGTGTTTGATGTGCATGCTGAGCTCTGTCTATGTTCAGTAGGCTGTCCCTGAGATCCAAGTGTTCTGCCCATCTGTTTTCCTATGTTTAGCCACGTTTATTCCTTTAAACTACTGCAATGTTGTGACACAACTGGTGTGTTCTGAACTGCCATGCCAGGAGGATGTGTCTGTGCAGGTTCTACTGTAGAGCTTCCACCATTCCTTTGTCTTGATTTGAGGCTTCTTAGTATTTAGAACTTTTCTAGAATATGCAGAGTATCACGTGTTGTTATAAATGATATTTAAAACAATTTAGAAGAGTTTTCTGACTGTTCACTCAGAAAATAGGGGAAACAAGATAGAATCATAGAATCACTAAGGGTGGAAAAGACTCCGAGATCATTGAGTCCAACCTTTGACAAAAGTCTTTTCCAGTGAGTCCAGTCTTTGACCCATCACCACATCCATTCATTTCTTGAACACTTCCAAGGATGGTGACTCCACCACCTCCCTGGGCAGCCCATTCCAATGCTTAACAACCTTCTCCATGAAGAAATTCTTCCTGATGTCCAGATCAGGGAATTGCTGTGTCTTTGGCTATATTTGCAGCACTTACCACATCAGCTTCTTAAATACATGAGCACCTCCAGTGTCATTAGGTCCTGATTAATGATTTTTTTGTGTATTTTCTCCTCTCTGCAGATATGCAACAACCGATGAATGTGATGACCCAAAACTTTGCAGCCGTGAACCTCAGTCCTCAGCCTAACATGATGCCTGTCCGACCCCAGACAAGCACATTGATGGGAGGGCCCATGCCTGTGGGGATGGGAATGCCCAATGTGATGTCAGGTACGATGGGAATGACCACCATGGGACCCACACCGATGATGAACCAGGGAATGATGGGAATGAACATGAACATGGGAGTGCCAGCTCCAGGAATGGGTTTGACGGGCACAATAGGAATGGGGGTACCCAATATGGCTATGACCTCTCTGACTCCTGGAACTGTACAACCCAAGCAAGATGCCTTTGCAAATTTTGCCAATTTTAGCAAATAAAGATTGTAAAATAAATAAATAAAATGAAATTCAAAAAGAATAACTGGGCAGACGGAATGAAGGATTTTTAGCTGCACAACTATAGCTGAGGAAGGGATGGAAAACACTGATCAATACTTCCTTTTTTTTTCTTTTTCCTTATCAGTTAAATTCTCTACATAAAGAACCAAAAGCTATTTTCTAAGTGTTGAAATAACTAGTGTTCAAATTCTGGAGAGGTGAAAGATTATTCTAAGGAATGTGTTGGATGATTTTGCAAACTAATTTGTATTAAGACCATCAAAAAAAACCTTTCCTACGTAGAAGAACCAATTTTAACTTTGAGACTTGATGGAAGACTGGATTGGGGGATTGGGTAAAAAATGTTTGAATCTAATTTTATACTTTTCTTTTTTTCTTGAAGAGCTTTGACTTTCTTTTCCCTCTCCCTGATCGCTTTGTCATAATTGGATCATTCCTTTTACTACCACTGAGTCCACAATTGTGAAGTCACTCAAGTACTAGGATCAGTTTTTTATAAGAATATATATTTTTGTCCAAAAATGGCTTACATATGTGATTATGGCTCATTCAAAGGGACCTGGAATGTATATATACTTTTGCTAATGTTCCAGCCACACTGCTGTACTTCCCAAATTTTTATTGTAAAAATCCTCAGCAATTTGGTGATCAACAGATTTTTTTTGAGGGGTCTTAACATCCTTCTAATGTTCTAACTGATACCCTGTGTAAGTCTGGGAGAAGCTTTATCCAACACTGCTGGATGGTTTCCTTTCACAAAGCTCCAGAAAATGCACTTTCTTGGAGTTCTTTTCCAGTGGCACTTGGTATCCTTTGTAGCACCAGTATCCCTATGGAGCCACTGGTTTAGGGCATCAGCAGCCCAGGAATCACACCTGAGTGATGTAAATGTGTATCTCTGCCGAATCCAGCACCATTGGATCTTGGCTTTTATACAACACTTGGTGATTCTTTTGTGTAAATATGGCATTAGCAGCTGTGGAATCCAATAGAGGAGTAAGAAAAAAATATATATATTATAAAGGAAACCTGTAGCAATCAAAGATTTTACTGATTTACTGGAAGCGAAAGAATGAATTAATTAAAAGGTTTTGGAGGTTTTTTTTCTTTTGTTTGTTTGTTTTTTCCTTCTGTAATTCTGCTTTTAAGTTCACATGAATCGAGATTTTTAGAATCTGGAACACAAAGACATATTGTTCTCTTCACAGGTTGGGAATATCGTTAAGACTAAGCACTATGCTATAGGTATGAAATTTATTGCCTCCCTTTTCTTATGTTGGATTTCTTTTTTTATTATTCAATCGATAAAACCTTTGTTTCCATTGTATTCATAATGTTCTGTTATACATAACATTAAAACGTTCATTAAAATCAACGTGGGGCTGCTTTTCCTTTCATTCTGTTGGACGTTTATGAGAGCATTTGGGGGAGGGGGAGAAAAAAATAATTATAATTTGGGCAAAGTAATTTTTATAAATAATTTAAAATTGTTTAATGACTTCTTATCTGAAGCTTTTCCTATCTGGCTCTACTGTTAGGAATTAAAAATGAAGCAGGCAAGATATCCTGACCCGCTCCAGCCTTGCTAATGCTCCATCTACAACATTTCTAATTAGGCAGAAATTCATGTACTTCAGCTAAGTGGTAATGAAAAGTGATTCATTTGCTGAATAAGAGATGAGAGTGAGTGTAATTAGCTGACTGCGGTTTTTAATCTTTCAACAATTCAATGTGTTTAAATTAGTTTCAAAGAATAGGAGCTTTCAAGTGTTGTTACATCAAAGTAATCAAGGCAACGGCTGAGTAGGAGAGATCGCTCCGGTTCCTGTTCTGAAACCTTTACACTTACTTGGAATAATCATCTTCAAACCCTCTAGTTGAAACAGATGGGAAGACTCAGACTGGTTCAGTCTATGCAAAATTGTGGTGGGAAGAAAGCAAGTTCCAGGGGTGGTGGATGAGGGCAAGGAAAACTAAACCTGTAGGCAGTGTTTTGTCCTGCTATGCTGGAGGGTGCAGTGCTGCTCCATCCTCTTTGGGAGGTTTTTGGGTGAGTAGGATGAGTCTGTCCCTCATGCATTCCTGTTTAGGTGGGTTTGGCTGGTGGAATAATCGACTCTTGTTCAGACTGAAGGAGGCAAAGTCTAGGGTGGATGTGAGAAAAAAGTATTTTCCTGTGAGGGTGGTGAGACACTGGCACAGGTTGCCCAGGGACGTGGTGGCTGCCCCAACCCTGTGGGGTTCAAGGCCAGGCTGGGTGAGCCTTGAGCAACCTGATCTAGTGAGGAGATGTCCCTGCCCAGGGCAAGGAGTTGGGACTGGTTGATCTGTAAGGTCCATTCTAACCCTTAAATTCTAAATTCTGTGATCATGTCCCTGTTCAGGTTGCTCACATCTCTTCAGAGGAACCAGCAGTTTAGCTTCTAATCAATACATTAATCATGATGAAGCAGAGTTGTCAAGGGTTAGAGTAACTCCAGTGGAAAAATGTGGTCACTTTGGAGTGGATTGTTGTGGTTGTGCCAATTACACCTTCGTCAAGAATGCACAGGCTCAGGGAGCAGCTGTAGTGCTGAACTGATCCCTGTGCATCTGATGGATCAATATCCTCCTCAGGCAGTAGGATGTGTGGAGGGTGAGAAGCTCTGTCAGCCAGGCAGGTCCTCTGCAGGTGGCAGAGAACAAAGTCCTTTGATCCAAAATAAACAGCAGAAAAGAAACCCCAGAAAGATTTCTTCAGAATGAGGGCCAGGTGCATCCCTGAGCATCCTCCCTGCAGTGACAAGAGCCTGGGGCATGGAAGTTTCATCTCATTCTCTCCCCCAGTTTCAAGCACATGGATCACAGGTAACAGTGCTTAGCAGAGTATGATCTTAGCATCTTTAGATAAAGACCAAATATCAAATGGGTTGTGTTTGCTTAAAGCAATATTGAACTTGTTTAAGATAAACATCACGAAATGTTTCCATCTCTGACATTTCAGGTACAAGCAAAATAATATATTTAAACCAAAAATCATCTTTCCAGGTGAAAATACAAATGAGCTCCCGTGTGAATGGGGACAGATCTGCCATTTATCAGCTGCTGCCTAATAAAATTTGGGGCAGTCAACATGCTGGAGAGATGTAATTGAAACCAGCAGTGAGGGGGAACAAGGGAGCTGGAGAGGGATTCTGTTGGGAACTGCAGTGATAGGACAAGGGGAAATGGGTTCAAACTGAAGGAGGGAAAGTCTAGGTTGGATGTGAGAAAAAAGTATTTTACTGTGAGGTTGGTGAGACACTGGCACAGGTTGCCCAGGGATGTGGTGGCTGCCCCAACCCTGGCAGTGTTCAAGGCCAGGCTGGATGAGCCTTGAGCAACCTGATCTAGTGAGGAGGTGTCCCTGCCCAGGGCAGGGGGTTGGGACTAGATGATCTGTAAGGTCCATTCCAACCCCTAAATTCTATGATTCTATAACCAAAGTCATGCTGCTCTGTGTGTTAGTACTACTCCTTTCTTCACTTTTAGAGCCAGGTCCAGCTGTACCTGTGAGCTCTCGTGGGTTTGGCTGGGTGTGCTGTGTAGCACTTGACTACACGGAGTGTGTGCTTCTAGAATCATACAATTCTAGAGATAGGATTATGCTGTTGTATGAATTGTGTGTCTAGTGTAAAGAGGTAAACTTCTACCACCTCTGGATTCTGTAGCTTCTAAACTTAATAAGTTCAGTTAAAATGAGTGAAATGCTTTGTCTCTGCTTCAGAAGATGAGATAAGGGACAAAAGAATCCAACTCTGATTTTTTTTTTTTATAGACTCATTTTTAAAAAAATTTGCATCCTGATGTGTACAATGCAGTGGAATTCCAGCACAGGTGCAAGTTCATTGATAACTGGAGCATCCACCATGTTCTACAAAAGAAATTCTCTTCAAAACAGCTAAACAAGGGTATTTATAGCAGCATCTGTTTCAGCTCTATCTGTCAGCTAAGAACAGTCTGACACAGCTTAGGGGAGGTGGGGGAGGGATTTATCAATGAAGTGTTTACATAATGCAGCCAGGCATTGTATACTCAAGGTGATACCAGCTATAACAGGATAACAAATATCTAAAGACACTTTTATTCTCAGAGGCCTTTGCTCCAGGAGTCACTCTACAAAATTGCCTCCATGTTCCTCTGTGCATGACTGTAAACACTTTCATAGCAGATGACATTTTATAGTGCCATCACTGGGTTCTGATTAAAGCTTTTAATGCAGAAGGGGTTTGGGGTTTTTTAATTTCTTTTTTTTTCCTACAAGTTTTATTCCAAGATGTCACTGACTAAAATTCCAGATTGTTTCACGTCCATTGAGTTTCAAACCCAACTGGGCTTGCAGACAGGTTGAAGGTATTTTAGGCAAAAATATTTGAGTGCAAAGGAACCTTTTTTTTTTTTGGTACCAGAACTGTGAGTGCAGTGACAAATCACTCGCTGTGCAGCACTGGGTGCTGGCTGAGAGACTAGACTGGGGAAAGCTAAGTCTTAATGAGAGATTTGGAAATGAAATCCTGCATATCTGTACGTTTCCAGTTACCCCTCCAGGACCTCTGCCCACAGGCTGGGAACAGTAGTTTCTTCTCACTCTCCTGGTAATGGAAGTGCAGCTCTTTGGGACAAAGCAGCTGTCACTGCAGGCTGAGAAGGACTGAGTACAGCTCCTTCCCAGCAGCCAGAAACACACAATCCACACAAACCTTTTTTGCCCAAACCACATGGATTTGGAGCTGACTTTAATGCTTTAAACATTCCCAGGGGCAAAGGGCTTCCTGGAGGTGGTGGCAGGAGGATGGTGGTTGTTCCAGCCCTGCCTTAGGGAGCTGCTTTTAGAGCTTTGAGCAAAGAAGTCGCAAAGACAACACGGTGAGCTGGGTTAATGTTGTGAGACTGAGCAGGATGATGGCCTGTGGAATTTGTAAGGCAATCTGGACACCCTGTTCAGTGATCTGGGCAGGGTTTTATCTGGTTGGAATGCTGTGGAATTTTGCTTCTCTGTGTAAAATGACCTTTAAAAGTTGTGATGTGTCTCATTTTTAATGTGTTTCTGAGCCCACTGTTCAGATAAACAACAGTAAGAGGCAAGAGAAATTTGCAGAATGGGGAAAATGAGGCAAGGTGTGTTTGTAGAACTTGGTGTGTATCCCTGAATTCTGCAGCTCAGAGTTCTTTACACAGATTAATCCAGTCTCTACATCTATGTCAAGTCTGTGTGTGCACAGCACAGCTCATTTCTCTTTCCAAAAATGTCTTTACTGCTCACAAATTTGCAGATTTTTTTTTTTCTAATCATGCCATAAGGTACTGGTTCAGTAATTAACTGGTTCTTTAATCGAGCTACAATTACTTTGTTTCATGAGAAGGGAGAGAGAGGGGAAAAAAAAGAATGTATACCAAGACAGAGCTACTTTCGACATCTGGGAACCTCCTAACAGCTGGCTATCTAATGAATATGCATCTGCTTAAGAGGCTGTAGGCCATTAATAAACCAATAGATATAAAACAGAAACAATCTTTGTCAGCTTCAAATGAGATTGGATGCAATGTGCTGTGAAGTGTCACTGTCACATTGAATCTCACCGAGGAGGTTAACGGTGGCTCCGTGCACTGAGCCTCGCCGTGATGGGCACAGCTCTTCCTGCTGCTTTCTGCCTCCTTATTTCTCCTGGTACC